CAAAATATGACAAGATACAGTTAACGTAACTCACTAATATTTCCATTAAATAAGAAAAACATTTCAAGACTTCGTTTACCTCGAGCAGTATAATTGAAGGCATCAGCACCATAGCGAAGAACTTCCTCATAGAGATCAAAAGGCTCCACAGGCCCTTCTTGAAGAACCTTGGCATCTTCTCTGAGATTCCTGTTGATCACATCAAAGTGAACGATAATAGCAAATAGATATTTGGAAAGAAAACTATAGCATGTAACTCTTCCTTTTTTTTTCTTTTTTTTTTTTAGTTTATAGGAGGTGAGATCAACTATTTTGGGCAGACAAAAAAGAGAACAGCCACCTAAAGGCCTTAGGAACGAGGAATCACTAAGCCAAATAAGGAGTCAATGCACAACATAATTCAGTAATGCAACTCTAGTTAATCGACAGATATCAAAACCTATTAATGATTCAATAGTTTTCAATAATTAAATTTGGTGAGGGAAGAGATAGAGCACGCAGCATGGCATGCATGAGTCATGTGATAGGAGCATTCTGCGCTAAGCAAGAGTAAATCTCCCAAGATTAAATAGCGGTGACGCCTAGTAGCCTACAAACTTCCAGGATTAAAATGACATAAAGAACAGGTGCTTTACAACTCCAATGCAGAATCAACATTAAAATTAGTAGACTATGAATGAAATATGAACAGTAACCACGGTTAAAGTTTGAAATAGTAAGGCTAAAAATGCAGACATTCGCACTAATACGGTAGTTCCAACTTCAAAAATCCCTAATTTAAACTCCAAAAGCAGAACACTAGTTGCATTACGAATTATAACCGCAAGACAGAATAATCCTCAATCAACGGTCAAAAAGTACAGATTTCTTTTTTGTTTTTTTTTTTTTTTAAATGAATTTCTGAAGGCGTTTCGTGGGGACTGAAATAGTAACACCGCCAAATCCGAAAACCAGAACGACCGAACCGAAATGCAGCCAACCGAAGTGAAGAATTACAAAAGTCGAATTACCAGAATTGAGTTCCAAAAACCAAAAAATATACATATATAAAAAATAAAAAATAAAAAAACCTCACAAGTAAGACACGTCAGTAGCACGAAGCAGATCAGCGATGTTCTTAGACTGAGCGAGAAGATGAGTCCTTGAAGTAGCATAGCTGCCGTCCGGTTCATCGAAGAGGAGGAGCACGGTAGGATGCGCCAAAGAAGACCGGAAGCGATGGCAAAAGGCAAGCAGGGAGCAACCTCGGAGTGTAGAGAATTAGACAAGCCGATGTCAAGGTGAGCGGAGGCAGAGGAAGAAGCAGAAGCGGAGGGGGACAAATTCATTGATAAGAGAGCGATCCGCAGAGAAAGATCATGAAAAGTAGAGAGGTTGAAGGAAGAGAAATGGAGATGGAATTCTGAAGCGGAAGCTGAGCTTAGAGAGGGGAAATGGAGATGAAGACGAGCCCTAACGACAGAGGAAGAGAGAGAAGCAAATGGCGGGGAAAATTGGAATTTTTTTTGGGATAGAAATTTATAAAATAATGATTTTTTCTTTTTTTTTTTTTTTCTTCCCTCTCCCTTAAGTTTGAAGCTGCCACGGAACGCTTAAAACAAACGCAATTTAAACTACTCTTTGCAATAATAAATTATTGTAATTTAAAATTATATATTTAAAATTAAACTAATATCTTCCTAATTTTCTCAACCATCATCCAGCTTTAAATGTTTATGTTATTCGAAGAGAAAAAAAATTATTATTTGAATTTTCTTTAATCAATTATTTTTTCTCTACTTTACTGCATCATGCATGAACATCTATTTGTAATTTATTTATGTTCTAAACGTCTTACTAAAACATATGACCTTCTTTAGCAAAATCATTTCCATGCATACACTAACGTTTAATAAGTCCTCACTTACCATATATTAATTGGTATTCCATGCCTGATAAATCATATCATATTCTATATTATAACAAACATAGAATTAAGTCAACTATAATACAGTCAATGTGTCAAAATACTCATAATTGATAATGACCATGTAACAACATACCCAATCAACGACATTTCATTTTCTTATTTTACATCTGGCATATCTAACGGAGACGGGGCATCAACGATTGGACTGTGGAACATGTCAAGTCTACATCGTAGGCTAGTTTACAAGATCTATAATTTAGAGCTCTAATACCAACTGTAACGACCTAAAATTTTCTAGTTAATTTAAAGTCACCACGGTATACATATCATGAAGATTGAATGCGAAAATACTTCATTGAAACTTCATAAAACATCACCTTCATCTTAAAATACAGTCATGGACATACATGTTTTGAAAACACGACATAACAAAAGATTAAGTAAAATAAATAAACGTTTAAATTAAAAACATTCTATTCTAGCCTAAGTCTAAGAAAATAAATGCGACTATCTTATGCATGTGTCATGGTCTCGAGTTGCGATGTTTTCGTCAGCCGTATAGGAATATCTTGCCTTAACCTGAAATAGACGTATCACGTAGCTTGAGTATTTAAAGAAATACTCAGTAAGTGACCCCATTATTGGGGTTAAATGCAAGAACATGTGAATGGAATGATGAGACCTATCATAACAGTCTGTTTTCCTATGGTACTATCTAATGGGTAGCTTGGATGTGTACTTTATACTCTACACACAGCCCACACGTGTGAGTGTGGACCCACCAGTCAGTTCGCACACTGCTAGGCCCTGTTGCTTGTCAGACGAGCATGCTCTAGTAGCTCTCTATGCAGGAAACTCGTTAGAAGTAGTAGCCGTCACGACAGTATTATGTCAAACATGATGATTGTTCTCCTACCTAGTAGTGTACGCGTCCGTACCATCATAAAGAAACAGGGGTATCTCCCAATGCATGAGGTTTAAACACACACACATCATATCATTCACATATGTACGTGTATATATGTGTGTGTGTATTTGTATGTATGTATATATATATCCGTCATTCACATGTCGTATCATAATCATATCATTTCGTAAACACTTCGTAGTCATATCGTTTTCTAAACTTGTCATAGCCTTATCGTCTTTAACATCTCATAGTCGTATCATTTCACGAACATACCTTAGTCATATCGTTTCCATATGCATATCCTAGCCATATCGATTCCTAAACTTGTCATAGTCGTATTGTCCTTATGCATCTCAAAGTCATATCATTTCATAAACATACCTTAGTCATATCGTATTCTAACATATCCTAAATCATATCGTTTCATGATCATATCTTAGTCTTACCGTTACAGGAATGTATTTTAACCATATCATTTCATGAACGTATCCTAGTCATACCATTACAAGAATGTATTCTAACCATATCGTTTCATGAACATATCCTAGTCATACCATTACAAAAATGTCATACCGTTTCAGGAATATATCCTAACCATATCATTCTATCTATCTATCATAATCATATCATTTTCTATACATAATCTAACCATATCGTTAGGTCAACCATATCTTAGTCATATCGTTACATTACATTTATTGCATCCCTCTCGTATCTTTATCTCACACATATCATTGAACACATCATAACATAAGAGTTATCATATCATTCACATATCATAACACATACATAATATACCATAGTTATATCGATTCATAAACAATTCACACATATCAAATTTAAGATACGTTCAGAACCACAGGGCACGTATTAGCATCAAATATAACCTTGCAGATAGTAAGATCACTTGATTAGCTTAGGCGGGTGTCACCAATTTATCCTTAACGAAAGTTCAATTTTTGTTCTTTGTATCCAAATCAATTTAAGTGGACCCATGACATCAATTTCAAGTTCAATTCTCTATATTTTACAATGTTTCATGTATTAGACTTCATTGCGAGCATCATAAGAGACTTTATCTATACAATTTTATTTTTATTAAAGATTTCATTATCTTTTATTATTATTTTTATAGAAGATATTGTACTTGCCTTGAATCAATTCGTCATCCCTCGTTCTTATTCTTAGAAATTAAGTTGGTTGACGGTACATCTAAAAATTACCAATAAAAATTATTAATATCTGCTGGAACTAAATGCCAATTTCCTTTTTCTCCCCAAATAAATTTGCAAATCTTTTCTTTTCTGTTTTTTTTTTTTTTTTTTTTTCTCTTTAGAACCATCATTCTGACTTTTGTTGAAATATTTCAAAAAGATTTGGAAAAGAAACTTAAGATCATTAAACAATTAATTCAACATAAGGTAAGTTATTCTATCTTAATCTTCTTAAGTTAAAGGAAGGTTCAATTTTAAGAAAAAAATGGACCGTAGATGGGAGTTCGATCAAACTTCCCAATTTGTATCCGAATATGACTTTCTTCAATTGGGCACGCTCCGGACTTGTTAACGTTTCGTGGTCTTCTATGGAGATGTTCCTTGAAGTTTCAAAAATCGAATGGGATTGGTCTGTCTCGACAAATTTGCTTGTAGGCTCGAATAGGAATTTCACGCTTTAACCCCTTCTGTTTAATGGCGGACAAGATTGAGAATTGGTGCTTGAGGCTCCTTCAACACTCGATTCTTTTATCAAACTTGTGGGTAATCTAATTTAATTTCATAAAAACTAAAATTTTTATTTGTATGATGAAGATATTGAAGAAAGAAGAATTATTTTATTATTTATTAAAGATGTACACCATATTCTAAAATATTAATATTGGGTTCCCCATTTAGAAAAGCCAATGGAGAGAATTATTTAGTATCATTTGAAATATTATGAGTATGAAATTCCTTAATTCAAAATGCAAAAAAGAAAAAAAAAACCAAATGCTTTCTCAATTGCATTTTTGGGCTTCATTACAGCATAGGATCTTTCTCTCCCTTCCCGTTCGTGGCTTACCAACATTGATCATATACCAATTCAGATATATCCATTTCTAAATCCATTTTGTGCCCTATAAATTCACCACTTCCACTTCATGTTTTTGCACCATTCTTTTCTCTACCACAAGAGAGAAACAAGAACCAATGGCTAATTCCTTCAACTTTGTGTTCCTTTGGTTGAGTTTTGCAGGCTTTTTGGCAGACCCCATAGCGTGTAGGCTCCTTGATCCCATTGGTATCCAAAAGATCGACGGTGCATGGCGCAATGCTCGTGCCACCTTCTACGGTGACATGGGGGGTGGCGAAACTATGCGTAAGACTATCTTCTCATTATCTTTTAATATTTATACGATGTTAAGATCAACGTTATTTGTTACTTGCAACAGAGGGAGCTTGCGGGTATGGAAACCTACACGATCAAGGTTATGGGCTAGAGACGGCGGCGATAAGCACAGCACTTTTCAACCACGGTCTAACCTGTGGAGCATGCTTCGAGTTAAAGTGTCTGCCCGGAGGACACTATTCGTGCATACCAAACTCGGGGACAATCAAAATAACCGCCACAAACTTTTGCCCACCAAACTACACGAAAACAGAAGACATTTGGTGCAATCCACCCCAAGAGCACTTCGACCTTTCTCTCTACATGTTTACTAAAATCGCCCCTTATCGTGCTGGTGTCATCAATGTTAGCTATCGTAGGGTACTCTGCCAGAAACAAGGTGGCATCCGGTTCCAATTAAATGGGAACCCATATTGGCTGATCGTCCTACCCTTCAATGTTGGAGGTGCTGGTGATGTTGTTGGTGTTAACATTAAAGGCTCTTCTACTGGGTGGCTTAAGATGTCAAAGAACTGGGGCCAAAATTGGGAGACTGGTACCGTTTTTGTGGGCCAGAGCCTGTCCTTTCAAGTCACTACCAGTGATTTGAGAACCCTTCAATTTGATAATGTCGTGCCTAGCTCTTGGCAGTTCGGCCAAACCTTTGAAGGCAAGCATAATTTCTAAATCGCATAATTAAAGCAGATTTAGGTTTCCTAATTGTGACTTAAATAAAGCAGCTTAGTAGTAGCCCATGTTGCTACCTTAGTTTAAGTTACAAATAAGTGTACTACAAAAAGTCACCCATTTCTCGTCTACCTTTTAATAAACCCTTTTCTAAGTTTTCATATTAAACTTCTTTTAGTTCCCATTTCTTTCTCGGTATAACATAAATTTCAATTCTCCAATAAGAGTTAACTCCAACCATACTAATAATTATTCCAATTATACTCTTTTTGTTGTAGATTCTAATAAGGGATGATATTAAAAATGTGAAATTATATATAACATTTTTTTTTCACGTATAATTCAATATATAACTTGGTGCTAAAATTACTTGTAATCTAAAAAGATTTTAAAAAATGCAAGTCAACTAATAAGATTGTCCCGACATACACAAGTATGCTAATTCGTACTAAATTTTTTTTAAGACCCATATAAATTTTGGGTTAGTTGGCTTGGTGACTTCAACCATGCAGATAGGTTATTAAGTTATTTTTTTAATTATTAAAAAAATGATATTTGTCCTCCATACTTATTACAATTTTATTAAATTCAAATATTATACATTTAAAGTTATACAACATCACTAACATCTGTAACAAACATTATTGTAAATATTCTTAATATTTTTAAAAATAGGGGAGAAGTAAAATGAGTTGGATTGTAACCCTATTTTTTTATTGGTCGAGTTGATGTGACTAAAAAATGTGAACTTATGGATCAAACTAATTTTTTTAATTTCTCAAAAATTTAACTCAATTATATATATATAACTCAATCTAACCTTTTATTCTTGGGAATAAAAATAAAAATAAAAATGAAAATGAAAATGAAGGAAAACAATAAATTAAATAAGAATAATTATTTATAGAATTAAATAATTAGTTGTCATTAGCCACGTCATTGAATGGACGATACTTCACGTGCATTTCCATTTTGTGGCGAGGCATGAGATCTTCCTTCCCTTTTCTTCGTGATTTGCCAACCTTGAATACACTAATAAGGAAAATCAATTTAATTTCACATTTTTAATTCCATTTCCTCTATAAAAATACTACATTAAGTTTAACCACAGTAAATTTTCGTAATAGTAATAGTTATTTATTCATCCACCTAAATCGAATTAACATTAAAAAAAATTACCATGTTTTGGTTGCCTACTTTTTTTTCACCTCGTTACTTATGGTGATGTGCAAACCCTACCTCTATTACTCTTATAAATATCGTAATTGTTAGTTGGATGATCCATGAAAAATTTAAATTTCATTATTCATCATAATTTTCTTTTATGAACAATTGATGTCGTGGATTTCTCACATCACTTCTCATATTGTTTATCATACCATTTATCATAACTTTCATGTATACGTCGGGGTTGTATTTCATGCTAATTCGTCGTTTTGCATGTCAATCATATCATATCATTTAGATTACATTAACATGTCATATCATAACGTTCTAAGCTTCCAGACATAATAAATTTCAACATATACATATCATATCATAACACGTTGTATCATAATATATCATATCGTAAACATGTCACGTATCTCGTATTATAACATATTTCATATCGTATCACAACATATATATGTTCGTTATTCACATGTCGTATTATAATCTCATCGTAAACATTTCGTAGTCATTTCATTTTCATATGCATATCCTAACCGTATCGTTTCTTAAACTTGTTATAGTCTTATCATTCTTATACATCTCATAGTCGTATCTTGTCATTCACATAACATATCACATCACATTATAATGCACATCAATTCATTCCAGCATACGTTCACATTGCATATATTTACGTATTAAATCGTAATAGTTTAAACATACAATTTATGACACGTGCGAAACAACGGGCACGTGCCAACAAACAACATTTAATTACTATAACCTACAATGGTAGGGCCACTTACTTGGTAGGCCTTATCTCACGTACTCCCTAATAATTTATAACGTAAGCTTCTAACTGCTTGTACGCGTCCTATGCTATCGTCCGTGATTGGTTCCTATTAGATCATTCAACACCTTTTGTTAGTATTTCACAAAAATAATCCTAATCCAACTTGAAATTATGAAATATAACCTTAAAATAACCTAATTTACCTTAAACGAGGTTGAAATTAGGTTCAGGAGGGTCGAACAAGTCAAAATTGGGTTCTCAAGCTGAGTAGCCGCCACCGGAATCGAGAATCCGTCGGAGTTGGGGATTTTACGTCAAACTTTGACACTTGGCGCCACCAGGAGAAACCGCGTGTGCAAGTTGAAGTCGGGTCGAGGCACAGGTCGTTAGGTAGGTCGGGGTTCGATCACGAGTTCTGGGCTGGACCCTATCATTGGGCTGCAGGGATTCTGATTGCAGGTGGACTGGACTGATGTGTGGGCTGAGGGTATTGGGCTACAGAAATTGGACTAGGTCATGGGTCAGTTTTTGGTTTGCAATTTCGGGTCGCAGTTGATTGGGTTAGGACGAGGCCTGGATTGGGTTGGGCCGAGGCACGAATATTTCTAGGCGAAGGCAATGGTTGCTGCATACAAGTTGGAAAAGCGGGTCCAGGTCATGGATTTGGGTCACGGGTCGGGCTTCGTCTTCCCTACCCGATTACCTGCATTTTTCACCGGCGTTTCCCTCTCTCTTTCGTAACGTTGTTTTTTACATCCGTTTCCTTCCTTTTCCTTTTGGTTTCGTATCTCCTCTCCTCTTTCTTCCCCTTTATGGTGTTGGTTTGGTTCGTAGAGGTCCGAATCCTCAGATCTGAAAAGGTACCCAAAGGTCGAATGTAGATTCTTCTTTTTCGAGGGTGTAGGTCGAGTGTGGATCGTCGAATTTCATCCTTGGTCAGAAACGATGGATTCAATGTTGGTTTTAGTTGGGTTTCTCTTCACTGGAGTTTCGTCGGTCTTTTCGCTTCTCTCTCCCCTTTCTCTTTGTTTTTTTTCTCTTTTGTACCGTCGGTGTGTGTTCGAGGCGGCTGACGATTTAGGGCGTGCTGTGATGATCCGAGGGGGGTGGTGCGGTCGTCGGTCGTTGAGAATGAAAACTCTGGCGTTCGCTAGAGTTTTCAAGTCTCGTTAGTGACCACGAAAAACGTGTCTGAAACATTTTTTTTCCTGATACGTTATATTATCAAGAACTGTTGTCTTCGAAAGTATCGAGGTATTTTTTTCTTTATTCTCTCTTCTCATTCTCACGTAGCTTCTTCGTTTGGATGATTTCGCCATAGTATTTTGACGAAATCTATGTCCCTATTACGTAAGGCTTTCATTTCTCGAGCTAGAATCTTATTCGGTTTCTCTTGTAACTCAATTTTCCTCAATCTCGAGGGGCCTGTAGTCTATCACGTGCGTAAGGTCTGTAATATACTTTCTCAATATGGACATATGGAATACGTCTTTTACGCTCGAGAGTGAAGGTGGTAAGGCCAACTTATATGCTTCTGAGCCTATTCGTTCTAGGATTTCGAAAGGTTCAATAAAGCGGGGGCTTAGCTTACCCTTACATCCGAATCTTAGGATGTCCTTCATGGGAGCACTTTTAGGAATACCAAGTCACCCTCTTCGACCACCAAGTTCCTATGGCGTAGCTCTTTAGCCTTACTTTCTGCGGTCCACATCATTGCTTTAATTTTCTATATTGCCTCATTTGTTACGTGAATTACTCTGATCCTATTAGTTATCGTTCTCCTACCTCGTCCTAGCACAACAGAGATCTACACTGTTTTCCATACAACGTTTCAAACGGTGTTATCCCAATTGTGGCTTGGAAACTATTGTTGTACAAGAACTCCAAACGTAGTTTGGTGTCCCAACTTCCTGTAAAGTCCATAGCACATGATTGCAGCATGTCTTCTAGGATTTGGTTCAATCGTTCTGTTTGGCCATTAATCTGCGGGTGAAAGGCAATGCTAAAGTCGAGGTAGGTACCCAACAGTCTTTTGAGTTCACGCCAAAAGGCCGACGTAAAATGTTGGTCCCAGGACGATACTATTGATATTGGGACTTCGTGCAACCTCATGATTTCTTTCACATTCAATAGAGCTCAATTGTCCACTATAGATGTTGCCTTACTTGGTAGGAAGAGTGCCGACTTTGTCAGTTTTTCGACAATTACCCAAATTATCGTGTAGCCCTTTAATTGAAGTGATTGAACTCTTCATCCACATAGTGGAAGCATTGAGAACCGTTTTGATTTTATTAAGAATTAAAAGAAAAACAATAAATTCGAGAGTAAGAACTCTACCTTTGTAGAAACCCTAACTTGTAAGACTCCTTGAAGCATTCCAAGCTCTCAACATTCCATGAGATCTTCCTGACTATGACTTGTCCAAGCTCTTCAACATTCCAACATTCCAACATTCCATATGTTCCTTGTTATGACTCGAACACAACGTCAAAGCTTATGTGAGCTTCTTGAAAGAAAATCCCGAAAGGATTGGACAAGAATAGTTTCGAGAATTTTCTAGACATGTAATTTATTTCTCTGTAGGAGAGATTCATGTCTCTGCCTAAACCCCGAAGGTCATATTTATAGGGACTCTTGGAGAATCTTTGTCAAATAATATATGTGGATATTTAATATATTAGGATATAATATTTTATACAAATCATATTTAAATATTATAAGATACATAATATCTAATTTGAATTTCATTCAAATTTTAAATATATTTTTATTTAATGCATCAAAATAGATTGATTTAATATTTAATTGTATTAATATCATAAATATTTTTTTTTAATATATCTAATATATTAAATATTAATTTAAATTCTTCAAGTTAATATATTTTTTTTTCATTTATATTTAACCTATCTAATATATTAAATATTAATTTTAACTCTTCAAATTAAATATATTTTCTCTCCTTATTTAATAGATTTAATATATTAAATATCAATTAGACATTTCAAATTAAATTTATTTTTTCTTTTATATTTAATATATCTAATATATTAAATATCAATTTGAATACTTCAAATTTTCTTTTAAATAAATTGAACCTTTTAGCGTTTCTATGAGCTAGTAAGGAGACCTTATAGATTTATAGAATATAAGCTATAATAATATAAAATTAATTAATTAAACTTTTTAATTAATCAATTTTCATTCATTAACTATAGGTAACTCCACTATTGACCTAGAGTTGCACTCTTATGCACTGTAGGACAAATTATGTCCATTGATATAATCATTATAAGCAAGTCGATCCATCACGAGTTGTTCATAATTACGGCTGGGTCAAAAGTCCGTTTTACCCCTGTAATTACATCATTCACCTTAAGTGCCACTGATCCTCTCTAATGAACAATTTGTTTATGATCCAATCATAAATCAAGTCCCTCTCGAGCCAATGAGAGGGTGGGGCCTATTGTTCAAGTCTCGAAAAACAACTCATCTATTTTCCTTATATGGAAAGAAGTGAATTCTATCTCATGATATTATGTTCCTATCTTCCTATTTGGCAAGTCCCCAAAATAGTAGACATATTTAATAAGCTAAAAGAGTCATTCTCACCCATGTAAATTAAAGGACAAGCGCTCACAGACAGGAGTTCTTAACTCGCTCAGGATTAAGATCGAGTCGCATATGATCATCACGTGAAATATTAATCTTTTCAATTAACGAATTTGTAAAGAGAGATTAAATATTTCGTGGACCAGTCTTATACAAACTCATTGTATACGATACCCCCACTTACATGTCTATACATGAACGATTTGAATCAAATTATTTGTAACGATTACAAAGTGGGTCGTATCAATAGTGTTACCAGGACAAGGCACCCAACGTTATCCATATACTATAAGACTCTTTAGGTTATTACTTGAACACGATCCTCTTGTAATGTCAACCACAAACTATTCAAGATTACATTAATAACCTTGGATGTTCATACAAGGGATAACAATTAAATTACAAATAAAATAATAAAATTATTGTTAAAAACTAAACAATTAATTACCAGACTTTAGGGCATAAATTCCAACATTAGTGTTCTGGATAAGCCTACTTTGAAGTCCATAGCAATATTCTCCCACTTCCACTCCGATATACTTAGTGGTTGTAGTAGTTTGGTCATTTTCTGCCTAGAGGCTTTTACTTGTTGGCACACTAAACATTTACTCACGTACTCCGCGATATCCTTTTATATACTTCACCACCATATGTGGTTTTTCAAGTCTTGGTTCATCTTCGTACCACCTGGGTGTATCGAGAAGAGTGAGTTGTGTGCCTCGGTTATTTCGTTCTTTATTTCATTCACAGCTGGGACAAATATACGTTCTTGGCATAACAGTCCATCGTCTGATGACTTAGAAAAAAATGTTCACTGGGCCTGCTATTAATTGGTCTTGAATTTTATTTAGGCTAGGATCCTCTCGTCGTGACCTATTGTCCTCTGTCTGAGTGTGGGTGCACTGTAAGCTAGGCTATTTGAGCTATAACCTCTTCGGTTACTACCGCTATGCCAGCTCATTTGAAATTCACTCGCATTCGTGGCTCTCTTGTGTTGAGGGCCGATGAGTGTACCGTTTTTCGAGTTAGTGCATCTGCGACTATGTTTGCTTTTCTAGAGTGGTACTGGATATCTATGTCATAGTCTTTTACCAGTTCTAGTCACCTTTGTTGTCTCAGGTTCAGTTCTTTTTGTGTGAAGAAGTATTTTAAACTTTTATGGTTCGTGTAAATTTGGGTCTTTTTACCATAAAGGTAGTTTCGCCAAATTTTTAATGCAAAAACCACCGCAGCTAATTCTAGGTCATGTGTAGGATATTTTTCTCGTAATGTTTTAATTGGCATGAAGTGTACGCAACAATCTTGTCATGTTGCATCAATATGCAACCTATCCCTTTTTTGAATGGGTTGCTGTATATCACATATCTCGCCGAGCTTTCTTAGATCGTGAGCACTATAATAGACACTAGTCTTTGTTTTAGATCTTGGAAACTGGCCTTACAGGCATCGTCCCATGAGAAAGGTACACCCATTTTTGTCATTTGGGTAAGAGGCGAGGCTATTCTAACGAAGTCTTGGACAAACTTTCGATAGTAACCTGCCAATCCCAAGAACCCGGTGACTGTAGTTGGGCGTTCCCATTTTGTGACGACTTCTATCTTAGTGGGATCTACTAAAATTTTATCTTTAGACACTAAGTGTCCTAAGAACGAAACTTTTCGTAGCCAAAATTCACATTTGTTAAATTTGGCATACAACTTGTTCTCCTTCAAGATAGTTAGAGCTTTTCAGAGATATTCTTGGTGTCCTTGGTCCGTTTTCGAGTATATTGAGATATCATCTATGAACACGATCACAAACGCATCTAGGCACTCCTTGACTAGGTTCATTAATTCCATGTATATCGTTGGGGCGTCGGTGAGGCCAAACGACATCACTACAAATTTGTAATGGTCATATCTGGTTCGAAATGCTGTTTTCGATACATCTCTGTCATTAGTTATAGTTTGGTTGAATAGGTCCTCGATGCGTGGTAGTGAGTATTTGTTCTTTATTGTTCTCTTATTTAGTTCTCTATAGTCGATGCATAGACGCATTGAACCATCTTTTCTTTTAACAAACAACACTGGTACACCACAA